GTGGGATAACACCATTCCAGAGCAGTTCCCCAGGCTGGCACTGACACTGTCCTGTGGGATAACGCCATTCCAGAGCAGTTCCCCAGGCTGGCACTGGCTGGCACTGACACTGTCCCGTGGGATAACACCATTCCAGAGCAGTTCCCCAGGCTGGCACTGGCTGGCACTGACACTGTCCTGTGGGATAACACCATTCCAGAGCAGTTCCCCAGGCTGGCACTGGCTGGCACTGACACTGTCCCGTGTCAAGGGTGCAGGAATTCCACTGCAGCAGCTCCTGGCGTGCCCCACTGTCCCCAGGCTGTGCCAGTGCCAGCTGTGCCCAGATGGATTCTCCTCGCAGCATAAACCCATTTTTAGCACGTCAGCAAGACAGAGGATTTTCATCAGGGAATGTGGCACAGGAGCTGAACTGCAATAATATGTCTGTTGTGACAAGAACGTTTCTTCTTCTCTTTTCTTTCTTTCCTTTTTTTGTGGTTTTGGTGGTTTCCCAGCTTTGCTAGCAAGGGTTTTATTCAACAAACAATCTTTTTCTCTTCTCCTGTTATTACAGTAGTTTAACCTGTCTTGTTTTCTGCCTTATTGTGTGGAATACTCCTGCTAAATCCATGTCACAGCTTACCGACACTTCATCTCAATAGGACACCTCCATCCCTTGGATCACCCCAGCAACGGTAATTTGCACGGACACATCACCAAAAAACCCCAAAGTCAACATTTCCTAATATTCTTTTCCCCAATATTTTCTAAATAAAGACTCTCCATTCACATCCAGCCCCCCCAAACCCTCTGGCTCAGGTGCTGTTTGAAGCCGGAGCAAAGACCATCAGGTCGTCTAATCCCAAAGAAGGTAAAACCAGGGATGATTTGAGAGGAATTAATCCAAACCCTTGAATCTGGATAAGCTGGACATGTTTTCTTTCAAGGGTTTATTTACTGTGTTTATTTATTTATCTTTACACTCAGTGTTTTCGGTGCCACTTCCAGACTGACAGGAGAATCCCACAGGAAAACAAACAAGCAAAGGCTCATGGAAAAGCAATGGGAGAAAACAGCTCTTGGCTTTGGGAACATCGGGCACATGGGAATATTAATGAGAAGGAAAAAAGTCTAAAATATGTTAAAATCTAATAATATATTAATATATCTAATAAATCTAAAATATATTAAAATATTAAAAATACATTAAAAATATAAAAATTATATTATGAATATTTAAAAAAACCCTAAAAAATATCTGAGTGAACTATAATACAGAATGAATTAGGTGAGTTCCTTAAAATACATCTAGTTAGGCAGCAGCCTAAACAAAAAAAATATGGGTAAATAAAAGCAGAAAGCCAAAGCAGCAGGTTAGTAATTAATAAACCTCAGACTCTCCAGGAGATGAATAAATTAAAAACACAAACAAAGAAAAAGTTCTCTCCCAGAACCACAAATCCTGAATCTTTTCACGGCACTTCAAATAAGGGGACAGGAGACTGAGGGTCAGGAAGGCTCTTCTGTGGTTGCCCTGACCCTGAACAGACTCCACTGGATCTAAAAACTCTTTTCATGTGCCACGATGGAAAGAGGAAAAAAACCCTGGAGGAGCCCCTGGACACAAACTCACTCTGTGAGTTTGTGTCCAGGGGCTCCTCCAGGGTTTTTTTGTTTGAGGAGTGTTTGTGGAGAGCAGCTTTGAGGGGGCACATTTCTGAGCTCCCAGGAGGAGACTCCTTGGAAGGGCCTGATTTTAGGAGGTGTTGGGATCAGATCCTCTCAGGTCCGCCCTCCATCCGTGCTTTGCTCTTCAGTCCCCCCTGGCTAAGGAGGGAGGCAAAGCTCCTTTGGCAAAGCTCAGGGAGGAAGAGCTGATTTATTTGCTCAGATTCCACTCGAGCCAAAGCGTCCCGTGGTTTTCTGGGCACGCTGCTCCAGAAACTGCCCCTTCAGGCCACGGCAAAATCAAAGCCAAACCCAGACATTCATTCCTGGCTGCAAGAGCTGACCAAACTGTGGGAACTGATCTTGCATTTCCTTCTTTCCCGGTGGAGAACAGGAGAAATCCAGGGGAAAAGTGGAACTCAGGGAGAGAAAACCCAGTGGAGCTGCAGAAACACAGGCCCAGTTCTGGGCAGCAAAGTCTGGCCAAGGCAGAGTCCAAGGGAACAGCCACGATAAAGCCAAGGAATAATCGCTGGGAACGCTCAGCAAGCCACAGATGTATATTTTATAGGCTTTGGCAAATAAAGGCTCAGCATCCATGAATTATAAATGCCACAAAATTTCGAGTATTTGTCATGTTAACTGGGCTGCTGTTTTAGAAAGTAACATTTGTTCACGTTCAGGCCCCTCAGAGGTGCTTTATCACCCAGGGACAATCCCTACCACCCCATTTCCTGCAGCACGAGACGCTTCCCCAGCCTACACCAGCAAGGGGCTGCAGCTGCAGCCATGGGGGCTGTGGGGATGCACAAAGCAAGCCAAGTTTGCAACCCAAATGCAGAGGATAAATCACAGGTTTAAGTGCTCCAAGAAGAGATTTCTTCCCAAGAAAATAAGTAACAACATGAAGATAAGTGATAAAAAAGAAGTGTCTTGGTTTTTCTGCTTTTTTTTGGGAGGGGGGCATGTCTGACATTAAACATTGAAGGTTTTCTTAGGGTTTTAGTTCTTGCATTAATGTTTATGGATTGGGTTTCATTATCTATAAACGGTCATGCAACATTGGAAAAGCTGGAGAGAATGGGTTTAAATAGTGTTTTTGTTGGATTAGAGGGTCAATACGTGGTTTATGAATGGAATGGAAGAACAATATGTAAAATAATTTCCTGGAAAACCAGCATGAAAACTACCCAGGAATCCCTCTACAAGGTCCACGGGACACACTGAAATCAGGGAATCCAACAGTCCAATCAGGGAATCCAACAGTCCAAGCTCCACAGGAACTGTTACCCTCACTCCAAATTATTGTTTCCCCTCAGATATAAATCAAATTCTTTACCAAAACCAAAGCAAACCCTAAACCAGGCCAGTTTTTGTGCCAGAGACAGATTTTAATCCCATGTCTAAATGGTCTTCAAATGTTCAGGTTAAAACCAACCTGACCCTCCAGAGAAGCTGGAATCCTTCCCAAAGCAGCACTTCTACCCTAAATGAACAGGAGTGGAGCCCTTCCTCCCTTTTCAGTTCCTCCTGGGTGGTCCATCAGGTGCCTCTCATGGAGGTCCCTGTTTGCCCACTAATAGCAGCTTCTGTAAAAAAGTATTTCCCTCCTTCTGTTGCCAATTTTATTTAAAACTACAAACAAATCCCAGTGTC